GGTCACTCCTCATGGTGTTAGGGGGGATCATATATGGAGCTGAAGATCGAACCTGGATCAGACTTGGCCACATGTAAGACAAGTGCTCTCTCTATCCCCTGGAGGGGATCATGTTAAATGAAATGCCAGAGGAAAGACATGCTGAATCCTTTCACTCATTTATTGTGTATAGAAGGAACAAAACAAGAGAATAGGTAGTATCAAATAATGACAATCCTTGGTTTAGAGATTACAAAACTGAGATTACGAAGCATTGGTGGATTTTCCGGAAAGGAAAACTAGGATTAAAAGTTACAGACTGTCAGTGCTGAGGGTCTTGGACACTGGTGATGGTGAAGGAGCATTAACTTTGAACCTCAAAACCATAAATGTTACTAATATTGTAACTCTGTCACCTAAGCCTGCATTTCCTGATTGGGTGCTCACAGTACTGCATAAATGGGAATGGTATGCTACTACAGGGTCAGAAAATAAGGCAGGGGACCACAGGAAGGAAACAAGGTTGACAGGGGACCATGTTCAGAAAAGGCTGAGAAACACTGACCTAATATAGAATAAAAATTTTTTTAAAAATCACTATTTTGGAAGGAAAGAGGAACTATGACCTCCTACACACTCAGATCTTTAGAAGAATCAATTCCCACTATTTCCATTCACTAACTTCTACTTGCTGTAGGAACACATTTTTGTGGACAACATTAAAAAACCATGTGAATTGCAAAAAAAAGGTACACTGATTTATACAGAAGAGACAAAAATACCAATTTAAAGAAAAACGGCCCTAACTTAACTTAAAGTGATAAACCACAGAATGGATACATATATAATATTTGAACTATACCATGTGCTATATAATACTACATGACATACTATTTTAAAGTAATATAGAGGTCTTTGTTGCATGTGTCCTTAGAATATTAACAAAAATTTAACATTTGGCAAAATAAAAATTTAATTCCCAAAACCGAAATTCAAGTCATATGCTCTGACCGTGATTTTATACAACTGAAAATGAGAACACCAATTTGTCCCCAAATACTCACACCCTGCCAAGACCAGTACAATAGAAGGTTGTTAATTTTTATGGCCACACCCAGTGGTGCTTAGGGCTTACCACTGTTTCTGGGTCACTACTGGTGAGGCCCAGGGGACTATTATGTGATTCTGGGGACAGAACCTGGCACAGCTACTTATAAGGCAAGTGCCTTACCTATTATACTATCTCTTCAGTCCCTATAATGAGGAATTTAAAATGAGACCATTATAGGTCTATAAAGACAAAATGATGCAGATGCTTGAATACATGGTCGTACATAATCTAGAATATTTTCCATATATATTCTGTGGCTAGTACAATACTGAAAATACCTCAAGTCAAATTTACTAAATCTCCTTTCATCACTGAAGATGGCTGCTTCCGAAGAATAAGAAAAAGAGAGCTTTCAGGTATGTACAAGTACTGAATCTGACTAGCAACCATGTTCAACATATTCCCCAAGCTGAGCTCTTACTATTTCAGCTCTTGATTAAGCTGTCTTCTTTTTCTTTCTGGACCACTGCTTCCAAAACCATTCTACCTGTTCTCTATCTAGGAAAGTCCACCTGTATCTCTCTCATTCTATTTCTGATTCAGACCTGATGATGCCCATTAGACACTGGAAAAACAAACACTAATTTGTAATAGTGTCAGAGGGAAGTGTCACAGGGAAATCAGTGTTAATTAGTGAAACTAGTAAATGAGTGAAACTAGGAAATTAGTGCTAGATAGATACACTCTTTTCCCTGACTAACTTTTTCTCTTTTACTTTCCCCCCTCCCCACCCTCCCTCCCTCCTCTTCACTTGGTAATGCTCAGCGGTTACACTTGCCTTTCCACTAAGAATTCACTCCTGGTCCTGCTTGGGGGACACCATATGGGATGCCAAAAATTGAACATGGGTTGGCTGCATGAAAAGCAGGTGCTCTACCCACTTTTAATTTGTAATGCACAAGTCAGCATGAGAGCAAATTCTAGTCCACTACCTTATGGAAGAAATAATAAGAACACCGTTCATTCGCATATTGCTCAAGGCTGTTTTCAGGCTTCAAGGGCAGAGTTGGGTAATTAGGATAAGAAACCATATGGCCAGCAAAGCCTAAAATATTTACTCTGGCCTTTGCCAGGAAATCTACCAAACCTTGGTCAAATTTATGGATGCAGTGCTTAGTAGATAAATGTGTATATAAGAATGGTGGCATTTCAGGCAGGAATCTTATTTTCTTCCTTGTCTTAAAGATCTGTTTCAATAACCCCAGTCTCAAGATCTTCATTCAATTCAGTATACAGATTACCTAGTTGGATCTATATACCTAAATGAAGACAAGCCAATATTTTCACTGAGGAGAGGAAACAGGTCTGTTCCATTTGTCATAACTCTGAATAAGAGCTTGCCATCTTGCCATGTGATGGCTTTCAATATCAAAGACATACTGAGCCCATGGGGAGAAAAGGATCCCAGTCTCTCTGGTATCCTTTTAGGGATTAGTCTAGACCAGAGGGTTTTCAACTCCCAGTCCACAAATTGGTACCAGTAACTAGTAACGCATATAAAAAATATGAAAACCACTTGCTAGACTCTAGCAGACTCAGCCAAATCATCTTCATTTCATCTTATTTCCCCCTATTTTAGTCTATACATCTATGCTAGCTACATAAGTCCAAACCCCATTCTACCAGCCCCTTTTAAAAATTCTACTTTGTTGACTGCCGAAAGATGCCCAAATCAGATCTTCACTACTTCAGTTACTAAACAGAAAAAAATAGCCACTGGATTGTGCTACTGATAACCTACAGCATCACCCTGATTCTCTTGGAAATATTTCAGCTAGTCCTAGATGAATCTCAACTAGGGTTTTATTACAAAGACCAATTATGTAGTTGACCATTATATACTATTAAACTTTAAAAGTTCTTAGTCTTCCCAGAATTTATTTTTACCTATTCACCACTGGAAAAGAAAATTATGAGAGTTACTGGATGCCTTTTAGCCTATTACTACTGCTCTGCTTGAGTGTGTGATGCCATAGAAAGGTGGCATTAGTAACTTTAGGGCAGTCTAACAAAAGGGTCAGGAATGAGGCTTCTCCTATCTTAAAATAGAGGCAAAGTCTTTTTAAACTTACTTATAATATCATTCATCATAATATTAATGGCCCTTATTAATCTTACTAATAAGTGATAGAAAATTATAGCAATATATGAACATGGTTAAAAGTGTTATTAATGCTATTAATACTATTGTAGTAGATTATAAAAACTAATAAAAATTCTACATGATAGGAATTGAAAAGGAAAAACAATGCATTTAATTAAGATTTGAGCATCTTGAGAAGAACAGAGGGAGATACATAGCTTTCGGGAAAGAAGCTTCCAAATTTATTTATTTATTTATTTATTTATTGAATCACTGTGGGAAAGGTTACAAAGCTTTCAGGTTTAGGTCTCAGTCATGCAAATATCAAACACATTTCCCTTTACCAATACTTATTTTTTACCATGAAGAACCTCAATAAAACCCCACTCCCCCACCCCTCCCAGCCCTTGTGAGGCAGATGAATTCTAGTTAACACTCTATCTGCTTTGATTAGATTCATTGTTTCAATAAAAGATTCACCACTATTATTTAGAGTTTACCCCCCCCCCAAATCAGACATGCTGAAAAAGCATTGTGAAGTGATTTGCTTTCTACAAGAAGCTTTCAAATTTATAGAATAAATTCTCACCATGAGGAGTGGGTGAAGAAAAGAGCCCAGAAGCCTCAATAGGAAATACTGTCAAATTTATAAAATAGGAAGTTTTATATGGCAACTTTAGTTGGAATTATTTTAAAAAATTAATCTTTCTTTTAACATAAGTAGTTAAAAAGAAAAGATGTGACTTTCATTTTACTTTGAAGAAGCTTATCATTGACCTAGAATGAGTTTTCCTTATGTCAGTCCTCTAAGGTCTTATTCAAGTCCTCACTTGTCTACTCTTCAAGATCATCTTAGCATTCTAAAATTAACTAAGGACAAGTACCTAGGATTTTGGGGGTAGAAAAACACGTTAAATTGCTTTGAAATTTAGAAAAACAAAGAAAAACAAACAAACAAAAAACAACCAGGGCCCAGAATTAGTAAAGGGATTAAGGCACTAGTCTTGCATCCTTCAACACTGGACATTATAGTTCACCCAAGAACTGCCAGGTGTTATTCTGCAGTACAGAGTCAGTCTTTGGGTAATGCTTAGAGATGTGGCATCCTAAGAGGCCCTCAAATTAAAAAAAAAATAAACAACATAAAACAAACAAAATCCATGAAAAACTATGGCCTGTTGAGTAACACCTTTTAATTAAAAAGTTTCAAGTAAAAAGATGCCCAAATTCAGGCTTGAGAAGCAAAATAAAAATTCTCTTTAATATAATCCAATATCAAATGTAGAATAATTTCTTCAGATATTAAAAAGAACTTCTTACCATAAGAAGACTAAGAAGAAACCTATATGGAAGTTATTTAAAACTCTTATAATGTTAGGTTATAATGTCAAGAACATTATTAAAGCTACTTTTAAAATATTTAGTTCAAAGACTCACCATTATCAGATTTTATGACTAAGATGCTGAGGGTTTGATTGCTTTTTGCTCATTGATAACACAATTAACAAAACACTTGATTGTATTTTACTCACTATTAATAAAATTAACATAGAATTATAAAGCAAAATTGGTAAGAATTTTCTTTTCTAAAGAATAATTTAATAAAGTACTTCTTAAACTTTTAGAAATTAAGTCAGAAGGTAGATTTGGAAAACAACAACAGCTAAATTTATTATTCTTCCTCTCAGTTTTTTGGGAAACAAATCAATAAGTTAGAAACTTTATGTATCTGATGCAACATTTTGAAGTAAGAGTAAAAACCTGTAAAAGGTCCACTGCGGATTTCTGGGTTGTCTGTAGAATATGATACAAGATTCTTTAACTCACCTCCAGATGCCTTTGACCTTTCTTTCAACTTTTCTGCAGCCATTTCACCATAGCTGGGAAGTTCTGACATCTTCACTCCAGATCGAGCTTCTGCTATTAGCTGACGAGCTCGCTCTCTCAGCTGCCGACGTCGCTCTTCATCTTGCTGCTAAGATATATTGAACAGTTGCCAACTCAGTAATTGACAGAAATGCAATTTCATTTTCAATCTGATCATCATGATAGTAACTGGTTTACAGCATGGTGCTTGGCCCACATTATAAATAGGATGCTCTATATCAGTTGGATGTCACATCATTTTAAAAAGACATACTAAAATCAGATTTTTAAAAATAACACAAATTATTATATTAAAGTCTTTAACATTCATACTAGCTTTTAAAGAATGCTTGACTAAATGCTACTTATAAACAGAAGAAAATGTTTAATAAATATAATAGAAAAAACTATTATTAAAATCACCACATTGGGGCCAGAAATGTAGCTCAGTGGTAGAGTACATATGCATCAGTGAAGCTATGTTTGATCCTGAGCATCACACACACACACACACACACACACACACACACACACACACACACTCACACACACTTTCTCTGGCTTATAGGGAAAAGTAAAAAATTTTAAAACAAAATTTCAATTTTTGAAATTCAATTTTTGTTCATTGATTTTTAGGGTATACTTGGCAGTGTGGGGGGGCTACTCCTAGCTTGGTGCTTGGAATTTTCTCCTGGCAATGCTCAGAGGACCATGTGGCACTAGGAAATCAAGCCTTGATCTTTCAACACACAACGAATGCTTTCCTTTCTAGTCCTTTGAACTATCTTCCTCCCCTGCTGTAATACCAATTATTTTTTTTTAAGAATAGAATTAAATTTGCTATGTTCTCATAAAGGCCTTAAGCACTGGCTGAGAAACATGTTTGATAGCACATTTGCTGTTATAACCTGTTGATCAAATATAGTTAATGCTATTTTTATGGGGTTGGATTAGGAATGGAATTAGTAAATTACAGTTATTACTGTTGGTAGTTTTTAGAACAAGAATTGGGAAAGTGATATACTAGTCACATTGCTACTCCCTCTCTCCAGATGAACACTGAGAAGAAAAAGTATTAAACTGAACGAATTAGAGATAAGGGCCAGGAGGATAGCACCATGGCTTGGAAACTGGCCTCACATGCTGGGGGAAAAGGCAGCTGGGATAGAGAAACGACCACTACGTAAATGATGGTTGGAGGGATTGTTTGGGATGGGAGATGAGTGCTGAAAATAGATTATGGACCAAACATGATGGCCTCTTAGTACCTGTATTGCAAACCATCACACCCAAAAGGAGAGAGAGAGAGAGAAAGAGGAAAGTGCCTGAAACAGAGGAACACGTTGGGGGTGGTGGGAGAGATTCTGGGAACATTGGTGATTGAGAATGGGAAATGGTGGAGGAATGGGTGCAGGATCATTGTATGAATGAAACGTAATCTGAAAGTTTATAAATTTGTAACTGTATCTCATGGTGATTCAATAAAAAGAAAATTATAAATGCACACTTATTCATTGCAATGCTTTGTATAATGAAGATTTGTAAACAAATGTGAAACTCTTAATGAATGGATCAAGAAGTTGTGGTATCCATACAATGGAATGTAATAAAAAAATCAAATCATTAAAAAATGAAAACTACAGAGAACTTAGTTTTTACCTACAAAAAGTTACTATAAATAAAAAAGTAATCAGAGTGAAACAGTTTTATAAGGTTTATAAAAATAAAGCATCATTATGAAAAAACAAAGCTGAAATAATCTGGCCTTAACATTCATTTTCAGAGTCATCTCTCCTTCATTTCTCTTAACCTCTATTAAACTCCACATCTATTTACATGAAATTGTTTATTCCATGTAGATTCATGTACTTGTGGGTTTAAAATGTCATTTCTTCTTTCTGGAACAATCTCCCAGTTTTTGAAACGTGTACTCATTCTTCAAGATTCTATTAAATTCACTAGTCTTCCCCTGCCAATCTTTCCTTTCCTCCCAACTCATGGGAAAAAGTTGTCTCTTCAAGGTTATTATGGTCTTCAGATGGATAAGACTGTTGATGCATAATAACTTAAAAAAATAACAGCTTGCCAACTGGGGACATAGAATGATGGTAGAGGACATCCCTCACATGCCTTGAATGTAACGTGGCCTTATATTCAATATCTGAACAACAAAATACTTGTTCAGCTACATTATAATCCACCTTCTAAGGAGAACTGAGCTACTAGAAGGCAGGGGCTCTGATTTATCTCTAAATTTCTGCTCTTCAATATGTGCCTTGGCATTTAATACTTATTTATAGAAATTTTAGATATAGAAGCTGCAGAATGGTTCATGTTTTTGGAGTTGAACCTGAAGAATGAATATAATTTGTAATGGGTAAGTCAGCAATTAGGTGGGCTACTGCAGGTGAGATTAGGTGGTAAGAACAGTACAAAGGCAGTAAACTGGGGGGAAAGTACATAGTATAGTGTTTTGGGGCACAGGGGGAAAAGCAGAAAGACAAGGCAAGAAAGATATAAGTGGAGAGCCTTGTTCAAGAGGAGTAGGGCTCCTGAATAGGGCTGGAGAGAAAGTACAAGGGGGTTAAGGTGCTTGCCTTAGATGTGGCAGACTTTGGTTTGATCCCTGGCATAGCAAAGGGCTTCCTGATCACCGACTGACCCCACACCAGCTGGTGTGGCCCAAATCCCTTATTGACCCCCTTCAAGAAAGAGGGTATAATAACATATATCTATTCTAAAGACGTCCGATTCGGGTTGTTAGGCATTCGAATGAATCAATGCTCTTGGCCAAGTTTGTGTTGACAAGGACACCGACGCCTCCAACACCTCTTTTATCGCATGTTCCGAGGAACAATTCCTCTCCAGTGTCGAAAACGGCATGGTGAGATTCGTGCCTTCTTGTCTCGGTCAGACCAATGATGTCATACTTGATCATTCGCGCTTGTACCATCAGGTCCTCGATGGATGCATCTGATGCTAGCGTACGTGCATTGAAAGTACAGACGATCATTTTTGTCTTCCTTCGTTGTGGCAGCCTAGGTCGGCCTTGAGATTTTGTCGGCCTCTCCTTTCTCATCCTTCTCAGTGCTGCCATGTCGGTGAAGCCTTCAGGGTCAGGTGAATGAGACCAGTTGTAGTTACTGGTTTTGGCATATCGAATACACAGCGGAGAGCTTGCCAGGCTCTTCCGTGCGGGCGGAATACTCTCGGTAGCCTGCCAGTCTTTCCGAGAGGGATAGAGGCTTTTGGGGTGACCTCTAATCACCCTTGTAGGTGTTACCATATTTGAACCCTATCAAATATGGTACGACAATTCCAGAAGATGGGTATTTAGTGTCTTATGATGTGTCGCGCGGCCACTTGCGGCCGCGCGGGTCCGGAAAGCGTCCTGGAGTGTGGCGACGGCTGGGTAGTGGAAGTCGTGTGGAGAGTGGAAGTCTGCCAGTGGGGTATTTATCTGGGTAGGGTGGGTCTCCTGTGCACAATTCGATCCCTGGGTGGTTGATGGAAGCTGACAGGGCAGGGTAGGGTGGGGCTCCTGATTAGAATCCCTTTGTCACCTGTGGTGGTGGGAGCAAGCAGAGAAGCTCTGTCCCTGGGTCCGCCGAGCCTGGAGTCCAAGGTCTCAGAGAGTTCCGCTTATCTTGTTCTGTGGGTCTTCAGTTGTGCGTGGGTCTCAGCCAGAGCGGCCGCGCGGGTCCGGAAAGCGTCCTGGAGTGTGGCGACGGCTGGGTAGTGGAAGTCGTTTACATTTGAATAGATGTGGCTCACTGCCTGCAGTTTCTATCTTTGTTGTCTACACACCAACATCTCATTATGATGAAAGAGAAATCGAGAAGTTCTACATGGAGCTAGAGAAGTTCTATAAAGAAGACCACACCTTCTACAAGATCATTGTGGGTGATTTTAATGCCAAGATAGGACCGAGAAGATCAGCTGAAGAACTTCACATCGGGACCCATGGCCTAGAATGGAACGAACAGGGTGAGAGACTGTCAGAGTTCATCATGTCGACCAAGACCATCCATGGTAACTCACAGTTCCAGAGGCAGAATCTAAATGATGGACATGGGAGTCTCCCGGTGGACGATTCCACAACGAAATAGACCACATCATATTCAATCGACGGTTTTGCCTGACTGATGTCGCTGTTGTCCCAAAATTTCGAACGGGATCGGACCACCGTCTCCTTCGTGCAAAATTCTACTTCACAGAGCGGGGAGAAAGGGCTGCAAAGTTCAAAAAGAGAACTCCCAGAATGACCACCAACTGGGAACTCTTTGGTACTATTGCGGCAACATGGGAAGATGCCATTGTTGACAACATTGACGAGGAATACGATCGACTGGTTCAGCACCTCCATGAATGTGCGAGGAACACCAAGAGAGAGATAGCCACAAAAAGTCGCCTATCTTCGAAAACTCTTGAGCTAATTCGCCAGCGTGGTTTGGCGCATGCCTCAGGCAACCGCAAGCTAACGTCCGAGCTTGCAAAGCAGTGCAGAGATGCGATCAAGGAAGACCTCAAAGAGAGAAGAGCAGAAGTACTGGTAGATGCGGCAGAAGCCGGGAAAAGTATTCGTAACGCCCGCCTGTCCTTCGCCAACTATAAGACCAAGATGACTGCCCTCCGACGTCCTGATGGATCCATCACATCCTCCAGAATGGCAATGGAGAAGATTATCCATGACTTCTACTCAAATCTCTTCGATAGCCATGTCCACTTGCCAACATACCAAATTCCACAGGATGGGTATGTTGTTCCCAACGTTCTCCCCTCCGAAATCCGACACGCCATTTCGTCGGTAAAGAAACAAACAGCACCCGGCCCAGACAAGGTCAGACCTGAACACCTGAAGAACCTGCCGTCAGTACTCACCAATACACTGGCTCGGCTCTTCACTCGCTACCTGTCTGAATGCAAGGTTCCGTCCCAATGGAAAACCAGCAGGACCGTACTACTGTTCAAGAAGGGAGACATCCATGACATTGGCAACTATCGCCCGATCTGCCTATTGTCTGTCATCTACAAGTTGTTCACTCGAGTCAGCCTAAATAGGATTGGCAGAACATTAGATGAAGGACAACCATGCGAGCAAGCAGGGTT